AAGACTTGCTGCCTGTAGGAGGTTAGTGAGCGACTAAACTGTTTGGAAGAAGAGGTAGTTGGAAAGATGAGTGGATGGGGAAGAAGTCGCTGTCAAAAGTCATCACAGGGTGTTTGCTCACTGACTTTTGCTCACCCTGTATCCAGAGCTTAGACTTTTGTTCAACTTTTCTGTACTCATAGCTGGTGGTTTTAGAAAAAAGAAAAATAAACCAACACATTAGTGTCATAATCGATTTAGCAAATCTTTGAAGACAGAAAGAATCCTGCAAGGCTTCTAGCAAGAACAGCTAAAGCTTAGTATTCTTTTGATTATTTATTTTGGTGGGAATAGTTTTAAAGACAAGAACATTTCTACTATTACAAATGATGTACTCATACAACCTCAGTACATGAGATCCCAGGAAAGCCTGATGCATAGAATAAACAGAGAACACGTTTATATGAGTATCAATATCCCACTACAGCTTCCTTGCTTTCACTTTGAAATGGAACATTGTCTACCTTTTGTTGATATGCTTTTATATATTTCTTCATATTTTTTCCTAATTTTAAACATAGACAATAACTTAAGGATCACCATACTTTTGTAAGTATAGTTTTGAGGGGTGTTTTTGTAATGAGATAATTTTTCTGATATGTAGTGGGTATGGGGACATGATTAGCCAGGGTAGCTGGGCTGGTTTAGGTAGTAGACAGGAAAATACTTCACTTTCTATGGTCTGGCTGTTAGAATAGCTCTATTCATATGAGTTAAGCATAAGTATAAATTGATACATCAAACAGTTTTAAAATACAGTGCTGTACAAGTAACATCCAGACAGTACCTAGTATCAAATCAAATACTGGATAAAATACAGTGTTAGGGGGTCTCACTAAATCCTTCCTTTCAAGCTATCTTTTAGACCATTATGGAAAGCTCACTCAGAAATGTGCCCTTCGAGAAATGCAAACAGTGCTGATTTTTAATTTATAAATTTCAGTAACTTCTAATATAGCCGGGAGTTAAAACAATTGCACAGCTACACACACATTTATCAAACCCAGAAAATGCGGCAGGTCTGTTTCTCTAGGAAGTATCTTCAATAACCCTCGCAGACATACCTGACAAGCATTTCTGCATGAAGGAATGGAGAAGCACCGATGTCTTTAGGGTACAACCTTCCTATTAAATACCTACTTGTAGAACTTAGCAGCTACAGTGATACCTAGAAAAGCCAAGTTGTGCTTTGCTGGTGCAGTGCTGTGTATCATAATAATTTCATTCATATCCCCTTTTAAAATGAATGATCTGTGAAGACAGAATATTTTACACTAGGTAGTACATCTTGTACTACATGGAGGTTTGCCAAAGCAAAAGCCTAAGAGTTGTACTTAGGAATCACTAGTGGACTGCAGATCTTATATACTAATTTTGAATAATGTCCTAAGAATGTCAGAAGTACCACGTTTTTTACCTCATCTGATGAGAACTGGCTTATGTTTCATGGCAGAGAGGGGTGTGGTAAAAGACACCATTGTTTCCAATATTCAGAGGAGATTCAGTATTCCACTGCTGAATTAAAGGCCTTTTTTTTTTCATTACAGAAATACCTGTCAAGATCAAGTAACTGAAAAATGTAGTATGTTGAAATAATAATTAAAAAATTAAAGCAATAATTGTGAATCTGTGAAAAAAATATGAACATAAGCTGGAAAAAATACCATGGACAAACATTCAATATTAAAATAGATGCATTCCTTTTTATTGTGTCCTTGAAATACAAAATTCCCTTAAGATGTTAGATTACTAAAATAATGAAATTTCGATTTTCTTGCTCAGAAGTACCTTAGTTGATCTAGGAGCTTCAACAATGGATATTAACTGTTAAAGTAGAACCTAGACATTGTTCATCTATATACAAATTGTGAGTTTGCAAAATTAAGAGCACTTCACAATCTCTTGAATTGAACTTGAAAGTTCAATAATGACAAAATAAAAGATCATGTTTAATTCTACAAGAGAAATTCACAGACCAGTAATTATTCGTAAAAATAGCAGTGCCAAGTAGAGTGACATGCAGCTGGCTTAGAAGTATAAACTAAAGAACAACTCTTACATGGTTTTATATTATTACATTAGGACATACTGACAGAGATATGAAAATCTAATTTGCATACAGGTGCAAATATACTAGATGGTTTCCTAAATAATGTAACATTTTAAAAAGTTCACAATAGCATCTAGCAGTACTAAGTGCCAGCATGAAAATGGAGAACATTCAATCTGTAAATTAAAATAAGAATAATAATTAAAAAATTACGTTTTAGCATTCACATTAGTTCATGATAAATTAACTTTCTTCTTGGGTGTTAAAAAGGGCCTTACTGATCTAATAAACCTATTTTTTAATGAGAAAAAAAGGTGCTTATATATTTTTTTAATAGCAAAAGATACTATTGATTTAGCCGTAGACACCAACAACTTACAGTCAGAGGCTGGTAGTGACCAGCTGAGTCACATCTCTAAATGATGGTGACTGCACCAATTCATTGAGGAAGAGCAGAGAAATTCAGGGGGCACCCACGTACTCCTCCTGCCTGCCCCTGCAGCTGCCAGGTCTGTGGATGCCCCCAGCAGGTACCGGGCTGGCAGGGCAGACCCCCCTGCTGGAGAGGTGGCAGGGGGAAGCACCGGTCTGCCTCTCCCCACCAGCACCTGAACGCTGGAAAAGAGCACTGCTCTTTCTGCTTAGATGATTTTGCCTCTGTGCTCTGGTGACAGACAGAGCTGCACACTCCTGGGTCCTGCAGCAGAGGAGGTCACCAAAAATGGCGTTGTGCCCTCTGTAATGAAACAAGCTCTTCTTGGCACAGCACCCTGCAGCTAGCTTGGCTCCAGCTGGCGCTTTTGGGGATGCTACACCCTGTTGTGCTGTCTCAGCTTATTGACCAGGAATGGGCCTTTCAGTGCTGCTCCATGGAGACTGAGTCACTCCTGGTCAGACCAGCTGCTGGCTCTCAGGATGTCCCCTCCTCAGCTGCTGAATGCATGGACCAGAAGGGCTTAACCTCTCTGTCCAGTTCCAGCTCTTATGACTTTTCTTGGAGGCAAAGTTTACTTCCTCAGCAGCTGAGGTATGCCAAGGAAATGTTGCATTGCTTACCAGCCAAACTATCTACCAGGAGCCTGGGGTTACCAGGGACACAATTCCAGGCCAGGCTGGGCAGACCCTGCTTTGCATTTGATTATTTTGGTTCCTGAGCAAAAAGAGCAAGCAACTTTTATCCCAGCAGAATGCTGGCCTCTTGATTGGTGCTCTTTAACTCTGATGCAAGACCTCCAAGTGGTTTCATAGAGGTTTCCTGCAACTACTGGGAAAGATTCTGACCCTTTTCTCCTTCATTTTTTAAAATGAAACATACCATACAGATTTAATTTGTTCCTTTGGAGACAACCTAGTTCTTTTAGTTTCAGAATAGATACTATACAAATTTATCAGCAATTAATCTAAAACTACTAATCATTTGCATGTACTTTTGGCAAAGTCTTATTATGCCCTATCAAATTATGCAGCAGCCAGTGATACTCTAATTCAAAATCCTAAAAACAGAATACAATTATAAAAAAGAGGCTTCTGTTTAAAACAAATACCCACTGTTATTTTCGCAGTTGCTTCAGGTTTGTTTTAAAGTTGGATGCCAAAGAAAGATTCATCATAATTGTAGCATGAGACGTTTTACAGCTTACATACAAGCAGTAATGGAATACAGTCAACAGTGTAATGATATCAACATTCCCTCTATCAATAAACCAGGCTCTAATGTCCAAACTGGATTCTGAGCTACAGCTAAGTACAGAATAGCTTCTACAGAGTAACCACAGGAGTACAAGAATGTCTCCATAAAACCTGATTTTATTCTGTGGCACAAAGCAATAATCAGCTTTTGCTGTTGATTAAATGTTGACGTAAAGTTAAATCGTTTAATCAACTGCAAAGCCCATTTAATATAAGTGTATTCTAAATTTGTAGACATTGTTGATACTATGTATGAAGAGAAAATGTTTACCCAAGATATCTCATAAAACCACAATTTTCTTCTTGGAGGATTTGGAATGTGGCTGTACCAATCTCTGAAAATCTTTCTAATGATGCTGACACTTATTTAGGGCATGTGCTTTACACAAATAACTGAACAAGCTTCCACACAAATAACAATAAATAATTCTTAGTATGTAGATAGTAGTTTTCATCCATAGGCCATCAAGTGCTCTACAGATGAGTAGAATTTCTGATTTTGAAAGACTTACTCTGGCACATCCCAAAGAGATGTGCCAGAGTTTTTTAGGAACATAAGGTAAGGCCCACAGATGTGGCTACTCTGCCATCACAATTATCATCTTGGCAAACTGTGACTGGACAGCCACAGGAATCCTCATCAATCTCTGAAGTGATGGATGGGAAGAGATACAGGGTCTAAAATCTCAGATTTTGTGCACTAGGAAATTAATTTTCCAAACAAGAGCTGGGTGCCCAGTGAAACAGGTTGGGCAGCCAGTATAAACTTCTGTGGCTGCCCAGGGTTTTCACTTGCTCAAATTTTGGCCCCAGGGAAGAGCCTATTTTCCAATTTGCAGATGGACAAGTCCGTTTCCAAACACAGGTCACACTGCTCTGCCTATGCATAACTTAGGCAAAGTAAAACAATGTTAAAAAGCATTTTTAGATATCACACTTGCCCTTGAAACCCTCTTCCTCTTTTGCCTTTTTGCAGAAATGAACATAAGAAATGGTCATAAAATAAACGCACAAACATGTTACTGAGAAACTGTGAGAGAAAGAGAATTTTCAAGGTGATAGGATAATTTCAAACAGGCTTATATATTTTATTCCTGAAGAATATGCTTTTTTGGGGGGCTCAAAGCCAAAATAGATAATTAAGGTTTGATTGAGAACCTATTAAAATCAACAGAACTTCTCTTCTGACTTTAAATGATTGCAGGAAAGAAATCACATATTTAAAAAAAAAAAAAAAAAAAAAAAAAAAAAGGGAAAGGAGCAAGGAAGCAAAATATTCACCATCAGTACATAAACCTGAAGTTAGAACTGTGTTGTCAGTAAGACATTCTTGCAAATCAACCTCCACCACCCTACACAACTTCCATCACATCTCCCAAATAAAGGGCTAAGACTCTCAAGGCCATGAAAGAAGTAAATATAAAGTTAGGATAATAATCACATTAAATTCTCTCATCTTCTAGAAATAAGTTCCCCCTTTTTTGTTATTATGCTTCTATGAGCAGATGCTGCTATTCCTCTAGATGATGATGGGTGTATGGAACCTCCCAGTCTAACCCTGTGACAGAGAGCTGCTGAGCCCATTTCCCATGTAAGTGGCCTGGATTCATCCTCCCTGTAAATCCTGCTCATCTCATGGCCAAGAGTGTGGGGATGCACCCTGTAGGGATGCTGGGCTATTTACTTGGCCAGGCTCTTGTCATGTCACCTCACTTCTCACAACTCAAGCAGGACAAATTGAGGTTGCACGTCCCTGCATCTGGTCTCTACCTCCAGCACAGTGGCTTTTCTCCTTAGAAACAAAGAGGAAGGAGGTAAAAGCAGAGAGGGAAAAGCAAATGTTTCCAAAAACATAAAGCTGAGTGATGAAACAGAGCGAACATGGAGATTAGTGGAAAGCATATAGGCAGCTGCTCAATTTCTTAAGGACCTTAGCTTGTAACGAAAGGCAATATCAACGTCTGGCAGGAGGATACCAAGGCCCATGCGACTGTTATCAAGTCTGACAGCTTTGTTTTCTGCTAGTTCTACATCAAAATGAGACAATAGTATGAAAAGAAACATCTTCATCTCGTTCATTGCGAGGAACCTCCCTGGACACATGCTGATCCCAGAGCCAAAGGGCATTAGGAAATACTTCAGTTTTCTTCCTGCCTTGTAGAACGTGGTTTTCTTCTTGCCATTCTCTATGTATCGATCGAACTTATACTCCTGAAAATGAAAGAAAAAGAGAGAGACAGCGTGATATCTAACAAGGCAGTTACATGAGCTGCTTTCTTTGCACAATGGTAACACGTCTGAAACCCAGAAAATAAGATAAAGAGGAAGACAAGGAGCTGACAGATTCTTCTCTTTAGTTGGTTCCCTCAAGTTTCATTAACTCACATTATCTTCCCTGCAAAGAACACTCTTTAAATCCACTTATTTAGCTTAGTCCTTTTACATCAAGCTCCTTCAACTTCCACATCTCATCCACTGAGTGTCTGGCCTATATTGATCGTAATTAGATTTTGACCACTTTCTAGCAGGGACAATGAACCTTAGTGGAAGGACAATTTTCTTGTAAAGCATCATATGCACTCAGTGTGGTACATACATCATGAATAAGGATAATCTGCCAAATTCTGCAAATGCCTATGAATAAATTAATGCATTGCACCCATTTTGCTCTTGCAAGAGGAAAATCCATCCTTCTTTTGCACAGTGTATGGTGCAGATTATTCGAAAACTCCAATGCTTTGCAGTCAGTTTTCCTTTCAGTTGGAGATGGTTGCTGCTTAATTTGCCACATCTTACCTTCAAATATTTTGCTGCAGAAGCTGTGAGCAAAGCAGGACAATGCCAGTGACTGGCCATTATAAAGAGGGTGTTTTCAAGCAAGGCTTGAGGTCACACTTGTAACCCTACATTCCATAAATTGAACATATTTCTGACTATTTTTGAGTAGCAGGATCCCTGTTTAGAGACAATTTGTGTTTTTGAATGAAGGAGATCTGGCATCCTCACTCAGTCAATGGCAAATTAACCACTTACAAAACCCTCCTGCATGCTTTGAATAAAAATGACAGGCACTTCTTGCTTATGGTCACTCATTAGCATTTGTCCTGCTTTGCATACATCTGCTATAGCAGCAGCCATTTGGAGCTGGCTGGGAACAAGTCAGTCAGACAGAAACCGACCTCAACTGATTAAAAAACCCCACACCACCATTAAAAATACACTGATACTGATCTACCCATTAGATTAAAGGCTCTGAAAATCATGCACTCCAGGTCTTGCTGTTGAGAAACAAATGTCAGGGGAGGTGGTCAGTGAGAAAGGGAACAAGTGCTAGGTGCACTGGAGGGGATGTAACTTTGGGTGCTGAAGAACAGGAGCCTGTTTCACTAAATGGCAGAGGCCTGGATTTTCCACAAATTATAAAGGTGATTCTATGTCTGCTTTCACTGACAAGTAATTCTTTTCAGTCTCTTTGAACACCCCAGCCAAAAGGAATCATGCCTTTATTTTTTTCTGCCAGGAAGTTATTGCTTCATTTGAGGCAGCACAGTAACAAATGAAAGCCCAGAATACCGTAAGATTTACTTCCTGAATTCTAAATCCTGCTGGTCTAAAAAAGCACTGCTAAATATGAACTGCAGTAGCTTAAAATCCCAACCCAGAGCTCTTCAATTTGCTCAAACATTTTCACAAGGTGCACTTCTGGTGTTGAGCAATTAAGAACTGTGTTATTGAACACACAGACACACTGGGTCAAACCTTATGCTTTCTTTGTCATATTAAGAGCTTTCTGAGACTTGTAATTGCTTTTAACAAAAAATAAATTACTGCCTAAGGAATAGGGAAAACAGAAAACAGGTGTGAGACAGGAATGTAGCGAATGACAGTGACATCAAACTCAGTGCTGCTGAAGCCCTTGGGTTGAGTAGTGTTTCCTTAAAAAGCTAGTTCACTAGCTAAATAAAGACTAATTTTTCAAAATGAAGGAACTTTCATCCATGCACAAGGTCTCCTGAAAGAGACATCGTGGCTGATAGTGAGAAAAGGGTCAAGACACTGAGCAAAAACAGGCAATGAAGTTCTGTGTGGATGAGCTGCTACACGTATTACGAAAACTGAGCAATCTCCTGTAATTGATCTAAATCTCTTTCTGTCACATACTTTATTTAGCTTTGTTTTGGGAAGTCACCACAGAGGGTTTCCTGCAGGGTTTCCTGATACTTACTCTATGGGTTTTGCGGAGTTCATTTACTGAGCTCTATAACTAGCTCGGTTAGAATTTAGGGATTCACTTATACAGTTTATAGAAAACTGACTAATTTATCTAGGCCTTAATGGGTGGAGAAAGAGGTCAGAAATATATGCTTACACTTACACAATATGGTGCCAAAGCACGAGATAGCTTGAACTTAAATTTATGTATCCAGGAGAAAAAGCATTGCTACAAAATTATCTCGTCAAGCTGCCTGTTTTCCCAGGAAAAGTTTTCCCTAAATACATGACAAGCTCAAGACTGCACCTTTCAAAAAATTCATTCTCCATCTCTATCTGATCCTCAGTAGTTATTGTTGAAAGCACACTGCATATTTTAAGAACCAAACAGAACAGTGATTTCCCCACTTTTCGAGAGGGGCCCATGTGCTGAAATCAATGTACTGCAATGTGTGGATTGCTCATTCACTATCAAAAAGATAAAATATATGAACTAAAGCTGTACTGTGAAAGCTGAGCAGAGCTGATACTAAGCAGATATATTCAAGCAATGGAAATATGGTAATATATTCCGGCAATTATTGGATAAGGGAGGAGATCAGTTTCCACACTGATGCTTTTGGTCTAGGACCTAAACAAACAGATGGACTTTTGACAAATCAATAACGTTCTCCAAAATAAAGTGTTAAGGATAAAATGAAAAAAAAAAAAAGAAAAAAAAAAGCTTATTTGTTAGCTGTTATCTATCCTTCTATCCTTTTTAAGGATAAAAATATTAATCAACTATTTGCCAATAGATGGATTATTTTAAAACCCTGAATTTCTCTGCAGGGTTTATCTTCATTTTTTGGATGGGGACAGCCAGCAGAGCTCCCCTGAATATAATTTTCATTCTCGTGGTTCCAATGTTCATCCCAGTGACTATACCTTACTCCTGCTGACTCCAACATGCTCCACACCTCCTCTCACTGAGGCTGGCAGAGCTTCTACACAACGAAATGCTGTCCTGCACCAACGAGGCACTTGAATCTCATCTTTTCTTTGCAACCTCCCTTCTTTAAATTCCTGAAAGGGAGAGCTTCACAGAGCAGCGTCTCTAACACGGGCTTTCTATAAACATGTAAAAAAATCCAGTTCATTTCTTCTTTGGCTCAAATGGCAAGGATGGAGATCAGCATGGCTGGGAGACAGCCATTTGCTTAGGAAAATAGGGGTGAGGAATGGATGAGGTAGAAGCTCTTGCCTCTCAGGCAGACAAGCCATTTAACAGCCTCAGCGTGCACCCTTGCTCTTTCTTGCTCTTCCTCTGGGCACCCTGGGCTGGGGACAGCAATCTGGGGAGCAACCTAGCTGAGAGGAGGACTATTCAATTTGCATGCAGGTGGTGAACTTCTGAAGCTGTATTACAGCTGAGGCAGGGTGGATTAATTTCGAGTCTTTGATATTCATTAACTTGAGCGTCAGAGAAAAATACAAGGAGATGACACAATTACCCTCCGAGCCTCACTGCAGAGCAACAGCTTTACAGTCTCAAGTTCACAACACTCTAATTGATCAAGAAGGGGTGAATCCCTACGAAGGGAGGTGAAAAAGCATAAGGCTCAAGTAAGACACTGCTATTATAGGGCTTCAGAGAGTCAATGATGCTTTGCGGGCACTTAGCTAAATGGCCCACATTATTTGCTATTTAAACCACCTTCTATTATTCAGCCCTCCTTGGGTATCAAATGATCCACTGCCAAACAAAGCCCACATTTAGCCTAAAGTTTATGGTAGTCAATGTGCAATTGTCAATTCCTTTGAAAGCAGTCGCAGTCAGTCTCATCACCATATTTCTCTCTTCAGGCCATGAATCCTTTGACCTGCAGGGCCCTAGAAAATACATCTGAAACTAGGAAGATTTGTTCCACAAGAAGGAACAGCAGTAAAAAAAAAAAAAAAAAAACCAACAAAAAAACAACCCAGAGATCACAAAAGGCTTGGCTGCTTCGATATGCCTGGAGTAGGAAGAGTAGCACCAGCTGAATGTTTACCTTCGGATCTTCATAGACCTCAGGGTCCATGTGCAAAATCTGCGGGTAAAGGGCTATCCAGTCTCCTTTCCTCAAAACGACTTCTTGATTCCCTTCAAGCTTGAGAACAAAATCCTCCTGGCTGATGCGGATGTTCATGGAGGACGAGCACATTCTTAAACTCTCGTTTAAGGCACTCTCTGCGATTAAACACAAGGGGGGAGGGAGGAAGCATCAGAAATATGGGAGATGACTGGAAGTTATACATGACTACAGCTGCTGATTCTCCAAGGAGTTTAGTAGGGCAGGCTAAAGGGAAAAAGAAAAAAAACAAAAAAAGAAAAAAAAACCATACAAGCAAAACCAAGCATAAAGCAGAGACCAGGAGGAGGCAATACACAACTCCGCAGGGCTGGGGTGGGGCAGTCGGGATGCTGAATGTCCCGAAATGATTCTCACTGATGGTGATGAGAAACCCTGTCGGTTGTAAGCAGCACCAAGTTTTGGGTGGAAAGACATTATTCAGGCATCACGTTGCAAACAACACAATCAAAAGACACTAACGCTTTATGCATTTACATGTATTTTGGTGGTTGCAAACAAATACCAGTGAAAGCATCCATGGAGCTGTTGAGCTTGCCTTTTGAAAGATGTTGGATTTAATGATAGGATTATACATTAGAAATCATTCTGCTTGCTAATTCTGTAGTCACTCTGATAATTTTAAAATGTATTTTCTTTTCAATGCACTATGCTGGCAAATTATAGCGTCTGTTGTGGTCAGATTGAGTGAAAGAAATTCATTATTTGCCTATTAATTTTAAGAGAGAAAGACACTTCTAATTGGCCTAGAGGAAACAAAACATAGTCTTTCAGGTTTGGGCAAAGCAAGATTTCTGTCTCCACCATCACATCCTGGAAGGCTCCAGAAGCAGAATGTCCTTGCTTTCCCAGTGGCCTTCACCTTTTGCTCCTAGCACGACAGATTTTATGGCTAATTTCCGGCAATTTATCCTGGCAGTTTGAGGAGGAATTCCTTTGGGAATAATATGCATAATTTGCATAAATCATTCTGATAGCATGTATATCAGCATGTAGCTCCTGTCTAGGGCTGCATCTCTCACTTTGTAATCAAAACTGACTATTTTTCCACCAGCTTGTATGGGCACCGTTATATGTGACTTGATTCCTTCTAATCATTAGTGTGAAAAATAGCCTAAAATAGGGTTTCATTTGCATGTAATAATCCAATTGTGTCTGCATATATGTTTTGTGATATCAAATAAGCCTTCTCTAAGTGTTCACCAAGGCACTGCAATTGCTGCACCCAAAAGGTTAGTTTATTAGAGACAGTAGCTACCCAGTGTAGTTGCCTCTGAAAAAAATAATAACAAACGTTCTTTCACTAAAAATTAAATCTGGTGCAGCATGCATAGCAAATAAAGTGGCCCTGGATGCTTTCTTGCAGGAGGTTTTTCCTTAAGCATGCATTTGTCTAAAGAAATGAGGCTGCGGTCAGCTTTGTGTGGCCAGCGCCGTGATTCAATGTGACGTACAGTGAGTCTGTGCATATTCTTTTGGACTGCCTTCGTTACTATAATCAGGCAGAGTCAAATCGGCTTGTTGGTGACGAAGCCAGAAAAGAACCCTGGTTCCAGAAGATGGCCTCTACTGCGGATAGCCACAAGGCACCTGACACGATAGATTTCAACTGGCAGCGCTCTGGCAACAAAACTTTACGCGGTACAAAGGAAGGGTCCAGCCTCAGCTCCAGACTGCCTTCAACCTGCAGGAAATGAAGCTGGTAGCTTTGTACCATTCCACCATTTGGAAATGGTGGTGACATACGTAGAGACAGCAAAAACCAAATGAGGAAGAGGGAAGGAGGGGGAAAAAAAAAAAAAAAAAAGAGAGAGAAATAATTATAAAGTGCCGCGGCCAAATAGCAGGTTTACATTTAACCACCCAAGCAATGCGGTCACATCCTATCGGTGGACATCCTCCCAGAAAGCGCGGCAGTCCCTGCCCGCTGCCGGATCTCAAATGACAATTGGGCAGCATATCTTATGCAGAAGTTAATCACAATAATGGAGCACAAAGTGTGGCTTAGCGGTCAGATCGTAAATGACAAATCTGTTTTACCTTCCAGTACCAGTTATGTGTGGAAGGCGAGCTTGGCTCTCGCTCTGAGCGATCATGCCGATAATCATTAGATGACAAAAGTAATGAGTCACATTATGATCAACAAAGGAGAATGGAGCTTATATGGCTTTGCAGGCTCACATTAAAAAAATAGACAGTCAGCTTTCCACAAATGCCAGAGCTATACATTGAGAGGAATGACAACTGCACAATAAAACTGCAGCCTTTACTTGCAGTTGTCATAGTTCAGCAGACACCAGCCATCGCCGCTGACAGACCAGCTGGGTAGCTTGGGAGGCCTTCCATTCTGCACCGTGAGGTACAGTAAATTATCCAGCACGGTAGAGCAACATCTGTTTCTGTGCTTGTGCCGAACAAACAAGGCAATTTAAAGCATACCAAGGGATAACCAAGCAGCAAATGAACATGACCCTCATTTTTTTCCCCCCTTCTTACACACATGAGATGCTAAACTTCACTGTGCAAGCGCTACATAAAGAAGCCAGGCTGTTGTTTGATAAGGTGTTGTCAGAGAGATTTTACATATTTTCTAGAGAGAGAAGGAGGGGGGAAGAGAGAGATATCTCTCATAGTATTGTTATTCTTAGAATCCTCCCACTTCTCTCTTCATTTCTCTTATACTAAAGCTAGCACTCAGCTTCCAATTCATTCTAGACTTTTTTTTTTTAAAAAACTGTTTCAATATACTTATAAATATTCAGTCTTTAAACCCTAATTTGCTATACTTAGTTCACATGCCTTCAAGCATTTGTCTTCCAATTTCCACTGAATAAATGCGTACTAATGAGAAATAGAGCAAGCTGCTGAGGCAAAGCTGGGTGACTTGAGCCTGGCCTGCCACCAGCTTGTGATAGGCAGGCAAATTGAGTTAAAATGAAAAGTCTTGTCAGCTGAAATACAACATGGTAGCCAAACAGCAAGCTGTCAATCATCCAGCCAAAACAAGGGACTGCAGGTAATAAAAGGTCATTGCGAATCATAAGTGCATTTGGCTTTCGTAGGCAAGTTAATTTTAATTAAACATGATCTCTATCTGTAAATGTTTTATAAAACTTATTGTGCAGTAATGGATTGTTAATTTTACACTAACACAGAGCAGGTAATAGGGTGCAATAATTATTAGAGTGTATTGTAGGAAAATAGCTATTGAGTATGCAAATATTTGGGGGGGTCATTTACCCACGGGCATCACGGTGTGCCAACACAAACGATAATCCGAAACAAGTACATTTGCATCTTACTCAGAACTAAATGGTACTGCCCAGCCCATTCCAGAAGAATATATTTTATTCCTTTCAATTCAACCAGTGATTTTAATGCTTAGCATTTGTGTTACGACTACACACTCTCTATTAGCTCCTTTTGGGTCCCTACCCTTTCTTGTGTACAAAACAATTTTTCAAACTGTGCTCTTTTTGCAGGAATATCTGGGATTCAGCAATGACCTGGGGCAAGAATACTTCACCATATAAATGAATGGACTAATATTAAACAAACGAACTGACTAAACATGCCTAGCATTAAACATGCACTAAGTACATCTCTGCTTTACCCTTGGCATTTCCATTATAACCAGTTTAACTGACAGACCATTTTCATGTGTCCTTTACCACAACAGAGCTCTGTTGTGAGCCATAATGTCTAATAATGTGTGTTACTCTGTGCACACAAATACCCACGTTTAGATTTAGGGATTGTATTGTGTTATGTGGACAATACAAAGGGTGCTCCCCCAGAAATATCATCAAAAAAAGATAATCAGGGCCAAAATTTGCTACTCTGATTTTGGGTAGAGTTTTGCAGTTTGGTTTGGTTTTTTTTTTGAAATAAAATAATCATGTACCTGAGGTTAGAATTTAGGAGTAAATCAGGCCATGTTGTTCCCCAGACCCAAACAATCTGACCATAATAACAATGCTACTTCCTGAGAAGGATTTTTAGCAATTTCTGCTTCTTCTCCATAGCATGAAGAATCAAAAAAAGTCTCTTGTTATAGTAGGCCAAAAAGAGGACGGAGAATCAGAGCACTTAAAACAGGAAAATGAGATGACAAGCTGATGAACATGCAAGCATCCCACCTGGTCTGCCTCACTCGAGAGCAGGGACACAATCCCAGTTTCCTACGCTCCGGGCTGGCACACAGGGAACGGAAAGAGGAAAAGCTCAGTCTTGGAGGTTTGGGGTCAGTGGCCTTCCTGCAACAGGGGAGCTCTTGGCGTGCAAGAAATGCAATTTGGGACCTTCATCCCTCCTACACATTTATTAACAAAACATCCTTTTCCCCTTTCCACTGAAGCATGACTCTAATTCTCTTATGGTACAGATTTTTTTTCTATATTATTACTTTATGGGTAGTATCCAGCCCTTTATGACTTAAGTGCCAGAAGAATTGAAAAGTAGCTTCTGTTCATATCACATTATGTTTAACATGATTATAAAATTTAACAAAAGTGTTACAAGAATACTACAAAGTAGGATGTGGCACTTCCCTCTCAACACATAAATCAAATGCTACCAAGGTGCTTCAAGATTTCAAGAAGCAGAGGAATGACACAGTTAATGTTTTTAAACTGTTCATACTGTTTTGCACCAGATGGTTTTAGCAAACTACATGGTTTTATTTTCTTTATTCCTACACTTTTAGGAAGCCTTTCCCCCCCTCCTTTTTTTTTCATGGCCATTCCCACCTTATCCTATAAATATAAACTAAATTCTGTTTTGATCTTCTTGATGCTTGGTAACATCTTTATTGGTGTATGCTAGCTCTGATGCAAAGTAGTTTTACCTGTGTTCCTTAGAAGTCCATTAAGTGCTTAGAAAGTCATGCTACTCTCCAGAACTGTCATCTAGTATCTCCTCTGTTTCAAAAACATTCTCCATTGGTTAGAGATAAATCTAAGAACAGCCATACTCCAGATGTAACCAACTTAGTAGACTCATGATATGTAACATTAATATTAATGCTCTAACTTAAAGAAATGGATCAGACTAAATTTTATGGTTGTACTAATCAAATCAAGTTTGCACACAGATTCCTGAGACATGCCAGATTGAGTGATCTTGGAGAATGGCAGCTATTACAAGGATCCAAACCAGGCACAGAATGCACTTCTCCACCACCATCTCTTCACACAGCTTTGTTTAAGAATGGAGCATCAGTTCAGGTCATGAGCTACCAAGACCTGACATGAGCTTGTTTGGAACACGGGATTGGTTTTGATATTTAAAAACAGAGGATTATTGAACCTTTAATCTTTTATTCAGCTGTTGTCTGCCCCTGTAACACTACTTGTGGAGACTTACAGATGCTTAAAGGTTAGGTACCTACCTGCTACACCCTCTTTCCTCCCTTGAGCTATTTTACCATCTCTGTTGCCAGTGTCTGTGTACTACCAAATGAAGTGAAACCAAGAGCTGATGCTCTGAAGGCCTGTACAGCTCCTGATTAAAACAGCTTCCAATACCACTGGCAAGGGTCTCCCTCTGAACCCTGGATCCAGAACCGAAAGATGTGTAGCTCTCTTAAAGCTCCCTTTTTGAATAAAGTACTGAAAACACCATTTCTCCTCCACAAATTTTTATTTTCTTATATTTTTTTCTGGAGGCAATGCCCAACAGAGCCTGTTCTAGAAGTCTTTTTGTTTTGTTAAAGAGAGGAAGAAAGAAATTGCTTGCGGATAAAATACATTTGCAGTTTAAATACACAATCCCACTTTAATTTCAGAAAAGGTTCTTTCTTGGCAGAACCATACAGAAGTATTTGAAATGCATTAACACTTCGGCAGATGCTCAGAATCAAACAACTTAATAGGCATCAACTTTTTTTCAAATAATTGCAAAGCTTCGATTTAGCCTTTTGCATACCTTGCATAGTTAATTACCTAGGCTTTAATGTTTACATGCAATGAGAGTATCTACAGCTATAAACTACATAATTTATAATTGATGTAAATGGGTGTTATTATGTCAATTAGGCAGCTGTGTCCTCCACCTTCTCAGTAAACAGAAATGAGTGATAAACCGAGTTTGCCGGGAGAGCCCCTCTTCTCTTCCTAACAGATAAAAATAAATTACCTAGGTAGACCAGGTTGTCCAATTGTTCTCTGGTGAGGTGGATGTTATATGTGGGCCCTCTCTTTTGACCTGTTGACTGCAGCAAATGGTCAATCTCGTCACGCACCGCTGCAAGAGCTTCTGGGTGCCGCAGAAGATAATACATGGCCCAGAATGTAGCTGGAATCGTGTTTCCCACAGAGGCCCACAGGAAGGCAAAATGATGTGCTGGGAGAAAATAAGTGAAAAGGAAGATTAATAGCGTTTATTACACTGATTAGATTTGCAGTGTGCTAATTAAAAGATGTTAGGACACAGACCCAGCCAAGGATCAGTGAATGCTAATGAGGACCAATAGGCTTCTGAAGTCTAATTTTCTGCTTAATGAGAATAGTTTGAAATGTAATGTCGGGGGGGGTGGGGGGAATAAGGGGAGGAAATGCAGCTCAGTTATAATCTTTCTCATTATCACCATTAAGTATCTTGTTTTACCACCTCAGCACAAAAAAAAAAAAAAATCAATTATCATAGAGGGTTGTTTCAGAGTAAAACATTTTATCATTAGCCAATTAGAAAGAACATAAAAAAATTTCAAGGTCGCCATTTTGCCTTTTTATTTCAAAGGTCTATAGTAAATTATTTTATTTTAGACAAGCAATCATTCATAAGTTTCCTACCTGCTTTGTCATAATCTCCAAGCAGCTCATATTTCTCAAATATATCTTGTCTGGCTTGGACCACTTTTGACCCTCCCAGCCATTTTGTCATGTTCTGAAGTAAAAAATGATGTATAAGCTCCTTCCGAACCTTCTTGGTAGCTCCTAGCAACTCAATTGGTATGTTTGCAGCTAAATAGGGAAAGCTGGCATCAAACTTGATAAATTTGTCTCTGATTTCACTAATAACTTTGTGGCCATCTGCAGCAGGAACTCTTCCATATAGTGTTACAAAACTGGCTTCAAACATTACAGAGCAGCAGAATTTGTACATTTTTTCTGTTTCCCAATCTGTTGCTTGTGAGCATTTCCATTCAAATATATCCTGGAGATTTTTCATCATGTGGTCAGAAATGATATCCAAAGGCTTGCCTTGTAGATACTGGTAGATTCTGTGCAGGTTTTCCTTGAGCTCAGGGAATTTTCCCTTTGACAAGGCTGGGTAGTCAAAAGTTTTGGATGCCATTTTATTAGCGAATTCATGAAATTCAAGTTGCTTGCTATTTCGGATGACATAGACGTATTGAAATGGGTCCATGATAAAGGTAATATATCTACCTGAACAGAAGAACAGAAAATTATTAGAGACACGTGCACTTTTAAAATCTGGTGACACTTCCAGAAGCAATAATTGAAAATAAGCCAAAGTCTGTGAAAAAAGCATGCAGAAAAAAGACCCCAAAAAACCCCAAGCAAAGATGCGTAAATAAATCTGCAAAGAAAATAAAGGAAAAAAAAAAAAGAGAAACAAATATTATTTAGATTTTCTTTGTCATGATGCAGATTCCACCAGTGTATACTTTGCAGGCTCTCCTAAAATCCATGTGAAGCCATTTCCATGTAGACAGATCTACTGCTTGTGGCAACAGTTGTGTGTGATCTCTTCAGCTGTGGTGCTCTGAAATAAATAATTTGCTACTCAGGTCTAATTCATGAAAATAGTGTGGAGTCATAGCAACATTTGGAAACTGGAGGTTTTTCATGAGCAGAAAGCGAGAAACACACACCTGCACAGAGGAAACTGGATGACAGGGGATGGAGTGGAAAACATGCCACCTAGGCAGCTTTTTCCAAGCAGATGACACAGGAACTCATAATCTGTCAGTCACAGCTTTAACTGCACTCTGCAAACCCCCAACATTTAAAGCTTCTCTCACATCTGGCTCTTCTTCCCTGAAGCCTTGCTAACTCTTTGTTAAGAATGTGCTTAATACCCATAACATGACTAAGTTTATGAATGTGAAGTTACAGCCTACAACGTAGCAGGCATCATTTTTAGCAGGGGCTCCACTTTGGGATACACACTGTCCCAGGGCTGGGATCCATTGTGTCAGAGTAAACCACCAACTTCCTACCTTTCCCAGGGCCCTTAAAGAAGTGACACAGTGATACCTTCAGCTCCTTGAACAGAGAGATAAGATTGCATCGAGTTAAATGCTTTTTTAAATTGTCCCTACCAGAGAAGTCCTGCAATTTCTCCCTAAACTTCATGTCAACTGCTGAAGCACTTGGATGCTTGGAACTACCATGAATCAAAATGCTAATGCTCCCAAAGCTCAATTAAATCTTAGCTCTTTATAGATGGTTCTAAATTTAGAGTTCCTGATTCTTATCTTGAATGAAGAGGTGCATTAGGGAAAATGGGTACCTATTAAAATGTACACTTTCTCTGTGAAACACCTCCGTCACAAACTCAGGGAAAGAGCAAAGCTTCCAGCACTTACAGTCCAATTCTGTCTCACCAAAGGGACAAATCTCCTTTTATTTTAATGGGAACACTACATGCTTAACTGCGGACCAAATTTGGCTCTGTGACAGATGTCCAGAGATAAAGTAGTCACTACCACTAAAAATGTCAAGTATCCATGGTTACCATATAGTGACATCTGAATTATCATAGTTATTTCATATTCTGATTTATATACACACACAGTGCTCTGTGGTATCTGGGTACACTCTGGACTTCCTCTACAATTACCAGCTGCCATAATTCCCCTCCCAATTACATCAACTGCAATCCTAGTGAACTAGTAAGGATATGTAAAGGATATATATATCAAGACAGAATTTGAACCCCTTTTCTTTTTTGTCAACAGTTTGTGAAGGTTTTTAAGATACTCATGGATTTTATTTTACTGTAGTATAATCAACCATAGCTGTAAATTTAATTTTAAAGAAAAATATATTGAGAAACCAGCATGAAAGAGAGATCCTGAATTCTCAGTCCCCCCCTTTTCACCTCCTTTTTTGACTACAGAGACTAAAAGGAATTTTTAGTCTTGACCTCTGCAGAATCTTTGTTAAGAGTCCTAGAATTACTCTCCCTTTCCAGCTTTCACCCACTTTCATGCTCTTTATTGAGGCTACCATCTTTGTGATCAAAGCTTGGAAAGAATGCCCATTGGAGCAATTTTTAATAAATAGATTTGGAGTGTTATTAACCCTAAAGATGAAAGCTGGCTTCTTAACTTTGCATTTACAGGGTAAACAATTTAAGTTAAGATTTTTAATTAATATTAATTTAAACCATCTGTCCACCATCTGCTTATTTCTGATGCAAAATATGAGTTTCTTTGTGATCTTTAATCAGACACTTAGCAAACGCACATCAATTCTTATCATTTTTAAGTAAGAAAATGATTTTCAGCAAATGAGTTTTCAGACAAACAAACTATTTTAGTAATAATTTTAAATCAAAACTCACTCACCACTAGCACATACTCTGAAAAAAAAGTCCCTGAGAAAAAGAATATTACAGATCCTGTTTTTATTATTCTCATCAGGTTCCTGGTAGCAAAAAGTAAGTATGTACCAAAATATAATTCATTTTGTAGAATCAATTCAGGTTCCAGACGACATCACTGCAAGTCAACAACATATATAAACACATAAACCAAAATATTTCTTGTTGCTGCATTTAGTTAGGGTCTAGTTAATCAGAAAAGTGGAACCCCCCTATAACAAAGGCAGCTTGTTTACGTATGCCATCGAGAATCTAATTTTAGATCTCTTAATTAGAAAAGTACTAAAACCCAGGTCTAATTAATGGCAGTTAGAAAGTTGTGAGAGGGGGTATGGGAACCTTTAACACTTACAGACATCCTCGCACACAGATGCACTACATGGCTACACTGCTTACCCCGGTCTCCTCCATACAGGAACAGATTGCTAATTACAAAACCGTGCCCCAACACCTCCTCTACACCCTGAGCAGCAAACATCCAAAGTGGAACAAACTTTCTCACCTCAAGTTATGATTTTAAATTTTTTAAGTGCCAATATGGTCCTTAGTTTTGCTTTTTAAAGCCTGTCCTTGTCCCCAGTGAGGTTTCTTCCCACTGATTGTCCCTGGTGGTGTCAGAGGCCAATAAATTAAAATCTTTCATAAAGTTTTCAGTTATTATTTGGTATTTTAAAATGCAGCTTCCCCCTCTACTCCCATGTCTTTCCACTGCAGCTCATGTCAAGACAATCTCTGGAAAGTAACCTTTTATGAAATCAATCCAAAATCTTGATCCTCATGAGTTTCCATCAGAGTACTTGAAAGGTAATGCCAAATCAGCCAAAAAATGGAGGCATAATACAATCTCCTCAACTCAGGTAGCCATAAATATTGAAGGCATTTATATAGGAACCACTAGAGACTAAGCCTTTCCCTCTTACTTGTAAAAAAAACCCTTCAACACCAAAAACTAAGTAGACATGTACATATAGAAATGTCACACTCCAATTCCCAATAGTTTAAGTCACTGAGCTATTTCATTTAGTACAGTAAAAACAAGTCTAAACAAGAGATGTATCCTTGTTTCTGCAAAAAGCCTTCTGATTTTCTTTTGTTTTTTTAATGTCTACAAAACATTCATACTTCACTATCCAATTCTTCAGCCTGCATTACACCCATGCTGCAAATAGCCTGGTTATCTCCATTTAGTTTCTACAGTCTCCTAGAAATAGAAGATTGATGTGGAAAATATGAAAATTGTCAGCTTTGGTAAATCTGAGCACAGAAGCCAGTATTTGTATGATAGTTAAGAAATTACTCTAATAATGCATTCTGGAGCTTTTTAATGCTAATGATGAAAGACAAGCATTTCAGATGGCATCTAATGATGGATGTTATTTCAGCAATGCTTGCAGCAGGCTTCAGCCTGGTAAGGAGTTAATGTAAATTACCTTTTGCCTACAAGAGACAAATGTGATTTGTTACTGTAGGTGTATCATGCTTTAAAGAATGACTTAGCAGCAATATTTGAAAAGGCAAATGCGCTTAGTAAAAATCACTAGGATTATTTTATTAAAAGGTGAGTTAGTCTCAGAGAGAATGTTGCAGGGTTCATTATCATTCTAATTAACTTGAGAGGAAAAGGACACAAAGTTTAATCCCAAGAAACAATGACAAAACTGTTTCAAGCTCTATAAGTTCTTACCTAGCCGTCTGCATATGCTGCTGACCCTTAACAAGCCGAGAGGCTTGGGAAGCATGATCATCTCAACGCCACAGACTCTCTCTCCCTCTTTCCCCTCCTTATTCTTTCCTGATCTTTTTTTTTTTCCTTTCCCCCCAAGAATATCGCGTTTACGTAATCGTCCTCTTATTAGGGAGATTCTGCTGAACTGCTGACAATGATGTACAGTGGTGCTGCGCTGGCATGACGTTTGGGGAAAACGATTCTGCTGCACCACCACACAAAACCAATTAGAGAACTATTTTCTGCGACAGGTCAGGAATTTACATTGTTTCTCATAGAAAGATGTGCTTTTTAATTTCTTTATTAAGATGACATCCATGTCCCTTGCGACTTTTAGGGATGACAATCATTTGCTCATCACATGGGAAAGTACAATCAGCAAAATCGCATTACCAGTACGGGGCAACGCCAGAAACTCCAAGCATCGTTCTGCATTTTCCAAATGAACTAGTTTGAGAACCAATAATTAGAACAATATATATTGATAGAATTTTTTGACAGGACCTTTAGACATCCACCAGGGGGGTAAAGTAATGATAGTCCACATACAGCTGGCTACGCTATGTTTGCCGAGCACAGAAACATCATCTTTGTCAAATCAGTAAGATGTAAAGAAATCCTGTATGCCTTCGGATCAGGACACGATAGGAGATACTAACTAGCTCTGGGTTCTTCCCTGACTTGAGGATGACAAACTATTTCTCTTTAATGAAGTCCTGATGGTCAGCAATTTTATACTGAAAAAGAGAACTTAAAGTGGTGTCTCTGGTATGACGAATTCACAAAATCAAACATTTCCCTGCACAAGACTGAAATGATATCCAGAACCAGCTACATTTACCTCAGTCTTTATCAAGGGAGGCTTAGCTCAAAAGACTTGAATATAGGGGGATTATCTGAGATGGAATTTGGTTTATCATAGAAATAGAAATTTCTGAAACTAAATTACACTCATAGATTGCTTAAACACAAATTTCTAAACACAGTCTTGCATAAAAACATAAAGAGGCAAAAGAAATAAATATTTGATCTGACACTTTTAAGACTCTGAAGTATGACTGTATCTGGTTTTATGAATGTTCTAAGACAATATCTAAATTATAGTAATTAACTGGTATTTGTAAGAAGCCAAAACTGTATTATAGTGTGAATTCAAATTAACAATAAAAAAGACTGTATTTCAACAGGAGTTGGTGTTGTACTGTGACAAACTCACTTTCAAGTTGCAAAAAATCTGATCATACCAGTTTCCAGAAAAAACCCTGAATGAAATTTTTAAAAATCACATATTTAATACAGTAAAAATTCTCTTCTAAAGAAACAAAAATATTTTTTTAAAAGGAAGAAAAACTTTATTGATTTAACACACGGCTGGAAATTAAATTAATTGACTTAAAAAAAAATTCATTCCAAAATATTGCTTCTATGGAAATATAAAGCTAAGGCTACTGCCCTAGAACTAAAAAGCAAACTTCAGCATTTACACTTTACATTTTTGCCTCAAGCTCCCTATAACTACAGGAATAATTAAAAATTATATAGACTAAAGTTGATCATTTGAACAGGGATATCAACATGTAAAGGTGCAGAAGATGATTATAACCATCTGTATTAATAAGAGCATCCCTTTGTAAATACAAGAAAATACTGGATTTTATACTGACTTTACTAAAAAGTAGATGTCTATAGAGAGATGTAAATTTATTTATTTAACTTTCATTCACGATTTTAGTTTTATTCTATGTTTTTCTTCCACAGCTAAGTGTCTATGTGAAATCACTCAAATGTTTGTATTCAATCTAGCTTAGTAATGCAGTTATAAATACAGGAAGCAGCAAGGTTATATCATACTTTATTATATTGTTATTTTCAGCAAGCATGATCGGAGTAAGAGGCTGGCAACGGGAAACTTCTGTGTTCCAGTCCCGATTGTATCACTGAGTCAATGTGTCATTCATTCCCTTGTGTTCCTGTCAACCAGTTGTAAAATGTGTGAGAACAAATTCTGCACTTTTTTTCCTAAGTGTTTTCTAAATTTAATCTGATATTTTTCTGTGCAGTGTCAAGATGATGTTACTTCTCCCTTCTTTATGAAAAAAACCCACCAATACACAATTAAATGTGCTGGCAAAATCTACGTTCATACAGTGCATACCTACAAAATCTGTCAAAATACATATATATTTAGAGATGCAAATAAATCCACACATTGATAGTGATATTTTATAGATAATTATTATGCTTACAATATATGTAAATTTGAGGGATTTTTATGGGTTTTTGCTAGAGAAAAATGTTTTAGGTTAAGGAACATTCTAAACTAAACATTTGGATTAGTATTTAACTTCACTGATGGAAAAAAATCAAGATACATACTAAAATATTTCTCACCAGCAATATGTACAGTGAAAATATCTCCAAATTTCTTTTGCTGATCCAGCAAGAATTTGTAAGCATCTTTTCTAAAAATCAAAGCTTTCCCAAGGTAAGGAATCCAGCCATTTATTAGTGGGGGCTCTCCAGTCTTTCTGTTAAAAACAGAAAAAAAAAAAATAAACAGGAGTTAACTTTGGCATGAGAGCAACTCATCTTTATATTTTTTATATATTACACTTAGATCCACCATTTACATCTATAATTCCTGCAAGGTATAATATGTTGTACAGAAAGTTCTTCAGATATGATGGCAGGTTAAATCTAATCACACCTCTGAGCACTGCAGGCTCCATGTGGTGATTAGGAAAAATAAGTGAGTGAAATTGAGACGCAATTTAACTACAGGTCGTCCAGTTATTACCATTAAGTTATGAACGCAGAAAAATGACATTCGGTAGAAAAGCTCCCAGCAAAGAGTCATCTCATTTTCAATATTTGGTGTGTCAGAGGAAGATGTATTGGAAGGCAATTATGACAGACCTAGGTAAATAGGATGCCAACACACCACACAAAACAAGTATCCTTACAGGTAACGTTTTAGTAATTTCAGCTTACCAGCAAAGAGAACAGCCATTCTGACTAAATATCTTTAAAATATAGGATAATAATACAGGCTGAACATTAACTGAAATAAATCTCAGTCTCTTTATATTTATAGTCTAAGACAGAAATGCATCTGGACAGTTTAAGAAGAAATTCCAGGTATTGATGTTTGCATCCCAGTTTAAAAAAGCAGCCACGATGTGTTAGTTATCTTTACAGAATAGTATAAAATACCTTTTAAGAACTACTAAGTTACATTTTTCTTTTAAAGGAAAAAAGGTTCCCACCCTGTCCTACTCCTGACTGCAAGTAAATATCCTTCCTTCATGCTGGTCTTTAGTTGCTTGAATCTGATTTACAACAAAGAAACATAAAGCGTGCTTGTTCTGGAAGGGATTAAAACAAATATTCAAGAACAACTCTGCTGCTACATCCCATCTGTGAAGGTGACTTATACTACATGCAGAACAACTCATTCTGATTAAACACAAGATATTTACTAGCTTGGATCTAATCAAAGATCAAGGGATCACAAGCTTTACTACTATCATACACAGCATGGATTTTTATGTAGCTGGATTAACCCTATCATAGTCAGATTCTCCCTTGAATTGCTGTAACATAAATAAAAAAAAATTAAAATAACCATGGTATGCTGTATTTAATTTTACTTCCATAATTAAAACTTTTTGAGCAGGAAAATACAAGCCAGAGATTTTCTCATTTACTTAAAAGAAGTTACTATAAATTTAATTTACAGATAAACAGATGTGGCTAAACCAAGCTTCACATTTTCATCTTTCTGTTTAACTGACTACTAACTTCAAATTTAAGTTTCTAAGAATATCCTTTTGTCCTCTGGAAAACCTCAGTACATCTTCTTGTCTGACAGTCTCACAGCCAACAGTTTGCCGTGCCTTTTCCATTTCCTTAAGTTTTGTGGCTTTGGTGTTTTCTTTGGTTATTTTGTAGTGTGTTTTTTTATCTTGATGAATGAGTTTTTTATATTTGAGCCCCTTTTTCTTCAATACCTCCCAGAAACCACTGCACTTATCATCCTCCAGAGGTCAAATAACATTATTTACTCAAGTGGTCCAGAAAACTTTGTAATGTTTAATTCTGTATTAAGTGAATAAAAGCAAAGAACTAATCTGAGATTACATGAGAAGGATCACTAGTCCTGGAAGCATAGCAGCCAACTTGATACCCTCAATTATCCCTTCCAAGCCCGTAAAGAATCTGGATGATTTACCCATTTTTTTCCCTCCCCAGACTTTTAAGTCCCAAGAGTGTCTGCCTTTCACTTCCCTGGCTGGACACTACGTCCTGTAAGTAGCATCCTGACAAATATTTAGATAGGCTTTTTGTCATCTTCTAATTGAATGCATCTAATTTCACCCTCCACGTTCTGTCATTCGGTCAGAAGCTGTATTCTTCACAAGCTCTCCGCCGGGTAAAAAGAAGGCAGCTCAGAAATCCAGGGGAAAATTAACTTAATGCTCCAAGTCTTCGGGATCACATCAGGGAGACATTTTGCTATTGCAAAGACGTGAGGGTCATCGTTCACTTCAGACATGTTTAGCTCAGCAGCAATAAGCTTAACACTGTTAAACACTGTGTCAAGGCTACGTGGCTTTCAGAGGAAAATGTAACACCAGTTCAACTCACGACCCACAGCAGACTGATAACAGAAATGTGTCTTCATTTCTGGCTTTCTGTCTCTTTGGAAGATGGAGGTCATCTCCACGACTTATCGATGTCTGCTAACACACAGCAAAGAAAAGAGCGGCCGCTTGTGTTTTAGTGCCCCCCCAAACCCAGTGCCTCTCTGCACAAACCCAAGCAGAGCAGTGCAGCCAAGCCTGCTTCCTGAGGGACCCTTACCTGCATCCCGGGATCTCCAAAAGCCTTCATCAACTTTGGCAGCTAAACAGAACCATTAACAAAGCCCACAGAAACTTTTACTGCTTAATTAATTTGCTCATGAACTTTAAACTCTGGGCTCACGCTTCACAGAAGTTGTAAAATTTGATAATTAGGGAAAATATTATAAGCATTAAAGTTATATTTTACTCATGTCAAATATATTGTTGCACCAAATGCAAAGTATAGCTAAGAAATAGAAAAGAGCACTGTTAAGTGTTTTGATGGAAATTTAAGACTGCAACTTTTTTAATTTATGCATTCAGAATGTCTTACAGATTACATTTTATTCAGGTCTAGTCTAACTGCTTAAATTCTAATTCACTTAACAAACCTCACGATATTCCCAGGTCTTTTCACTCCACATATTGGGCTGGTTTTGCTTATATAGAGGAATATCTTTACTTGTCTGAGAAGCCTCTGTGAAGTCAGTAAGACTTAACGAACAAATTTCTCACATATGTGAGTGAATTTTACAAATAAAGCATCAGCAACATGTCCAATGCAATCTATAAGTAGACGGATCAGTTACAAAGTGGAGGGAGAGCAACACAGTTGTATCATCCATCATTGTTAAATGGATAATTTCAAATGGCATTATGCAAAAATCAGCTGGCTACAAATACAGCCCATAAATAGAACGAACAGACTTTGATAACCGTCATTTTTCTTTGCTTTCACAGAGAAAAGATACTTTCTTGTTAGCAAGTAATAGAGTTGCAACATCTACTTCACCAAAAAACGAAAGTTTTGGAGTTTGGTTGCAGTCTCCTTAAGGGAATATTTTTCAGCTCACCTAAAACACTGACTCAGTGACTGAAGGCACTGACTCAGGTGTGATTATTTAGCTACTGAGGTAAGGCAACTTCAGAAAATGTGGATGCTGTATCTATGTCTCATTTATGCTAAGCAGCAGTGATGCAATATAGCAGGAGAAAAATGGGGTTTAACGTAAGTATTTTGGAAAATATTAAATTTAAAAAAATATTAAATTCAGTGTCTCTAAACATTATCCTTTCACGTAGTGAAAGGAATTATTTTGGAAACCCCAGTAAGGTCATTTGTAAAGGTCTCTGAGCACTACTTTGTGTTTTTTAATTTTTTTTTTCAGTTTGTTGTAAAGAAAATATTCTAAAGATTCACAAGCAAACAGACTTTGCCATCATCATCTCTCATAGAAATATTATTGTTTTATAAAAGCACACAATACTATTATTTTCTTGGTTACACCATTTCAACATCACTGCAGTGTAAATGAGAGGAGAATCTTTCTCATCTCACTGGTTATTTGTATTCCAAAGGAGCAGATGCCTTTCAAATTATGCAAAAACCCACAGCACATCTTGTACTATAGCAGATGAACAGGTTAATTTTTCTTTTTGCACATAATAAATCATAAGTGCTTTAACACCCATAGTCGCATTTCATGAACATAAACCTTCTGTTTAATAATGTCTGTTTACAACTAGAATCAGACATACAGTAATCTCTTGCCTGGGATAAACATTAATCCAGATCTGTCTAGAAAAATTATACAATTCATTACCATAAGTAATCTCTATTGTGCCCCATGCTTAACCTTCATCTTTTTTCCTGTCCTATAATCTTGCAAATCCACTGGTGGTGTATGATTGGCATCTGGTGTTCCTGCAGCCTTCAGTGCACACAGCACAGCTGAAGAAGCCCGACACGAGCGCGTCACTCTGCAGGGCAACGCCGGTTCAGCTGACCGCTTTGCACAACAACTTTCACCAAAGGCGGAAAAAACCCCGCAAGCCCAGGACAAAAAGGTCTAACAATATCTTTTGCTACAGAGGGGTAATTTTCACTTTCCAAGCCATCACTACCATCCACAAAAGCTAAAGGTAGTGCTCTGATTTTTCCATAGTGTCTTCGGACAAACCATCATAATACCATGTCCAAGCTGGAACACACCATGTCAGGGGACTTTAAGGAATGGAAATGGATTGGTACAGAGTAGAACAAAAGCTATTATGAACATGTCAAAGCAGTTAGAGATTATTCACAGGCTCGATCACAATATTTAAGCAACAAGACATGACAGACAGTGTCTTTCCAGGGGCTTATGAACACTCTAACTGTGAGGAAAAGAATGAGGCCAAAGGCTTCAACCCCTGGAAAGGTAATCCCCAGAAATGTGGTGTCTGGAATGTCTTCTTGTATTATGAAAGAGAGAACACAGGAAACTTAGGACAGGAGGAAGCCAGTGAGTCTATCTTTCCATTTTTTTTTTTTTTTTTAATTTAGCAGTTACAGTTTTCCCCTAGACCTACTTATAGATGTTCTACACCTACGAGGACAGAAAAAAAAAAAAAAATTCTTTCAAATATTTGGCCACAATGTAATTTTTGACATTTATAAAATTAGCCATGTCTTAAACCTTCACTCAAATTATCTGACTCAGTGATCTCCCAGAACTCTGAATCTTCCAGGTTGAACACATGCAGTACAAAAAAGCATTCCCCGCAGAACAAGCCAGATGAGTTTTAGCAAATGCAGTCTTTTACCCTTGATTTCTCAGCTTACAAACTTCCTCTGGAAGTAAAGGCATTGCTCCTATCTGATCACTATTTTCAGGTTTTGTGGGGACTAAATGGATGCATCATCT